CTTAATTCCCACTATAACTGTTGAGGGTGGGAAATCCTATTATAGTAATTGAAAGGTGGGGCCTTGGAGACACGATTAGATTCTGAGGACCATGTCCAGTGAATGGATTAAAAATGATGGTCGTGGGTATGGTTCTGAGGGCTTTAAAAAGGAGAGTGCACCAGGAGCTCTCTCTCTGCTGTACCATTTTCTGCCATGTAAGACCCCTGGGTCACTGTTACCACCAAGACCCTCATCAGGTGTGTTCCCTGGACTTTGGACTTCCCAGCCCCAGAAATTGTTTGGCAGTGAATTTCATTTTCTTAAAAGTTACCCAGTTCCAAGGCCTTCTAGTCTAGATGGCAGAATAGACGGTCCCCAGTGTCACTCTCTCCCACAAACCAACTAATTTACAACTATTAAAAAGCAATGACAGCCAGGCTGGGGCCGCTAGAGCTCAGGGGAAGAGAAGAGACCTATGGAGTTCATGAAGGCCAGAGAAGCCATAATGAGAGAAAGAAAAAAATCCCTCCAACCATTTTGAGCCCAGCACGCTTCCAGGCTGGAGCTGCTGAGCACACAGAGCAGGAGTCTGCAAAAGCCACAGCTGTGCCCTTTGGATGAAGTTGCACAGATGCAGCAGGGAAAAGGAGGGCCTTGGTGGTCCCTTGGCCAGCAAGACCACTGATGGGGCTCCCATGGACCCACATAGGAGAGAGGAGCCACAAAAACTGAAAATAAGGAGACACTTAGAGGCCAGTGAGTCATCGCAAGGGACCAGCGCACAGCCCGTCCCATGGGAAGTGTTCTCAGAATGGACAGTGGGGGAGACAGGCCCACCGGGAGAACACTGGGACAAGCAAGGACAGCTGACCTGACCCCAATCAGTGTAGGGCCACTCAGAGGAGACTGGTCAGGAATATAGGATTGTATGGGGTGCAGTTTGATGAAAAGACTCAGGCCCAGACCAGTGTTTCTACACAACCCAGGGGTGCTGGATTTCACTAAACCTGGAAGTCCTATAAAGTCAACCATTGAAACCTGAGCTGCACGAAAAGCCTTCCCCAGGGAATCAACAGCAAAGCAGCGATTTAGCTCAACCACAGAGCTCAAGTGCTGGTCCCTACAGGAAGTTCCCCCACTTTACAAGTAAGCAAAGGACAACAAATTAGTTCCAGTGCAGAGTTTAAGTGGTGGGAACAGCAAATAATCCAACACAGAACTGAAAGAAAAAACAGAGTACCCACAACCAGAGACAAAGTTTGATATTATCTAGTAAAGGTCTCATTTCACCAAAGAACACCTATAACACCTAGAAGGACCAGAAGTCCCCTGGGCTACCAAGCCAGAAAGAGGGGACAACCAGGCACACCACCAGTGCCATGGGGTCCTGAGGCATAGATCTGGGGAACAGACCCTCCTCCCACAACCAGGCACACCACCACCACCAACTATGTAAGGAGCATGCCAGAAACATCACCTCCATGTGGGTGGCCCACCACAGCCACCACAATAATCATGCCTGCCGCAAAAGTGGCTAGACACCACAACCACTGCACAGGTGGTCCATCAGCCACTGGGGTGCACTGACACTAGGAGAGTCACCAGCAGAGAGACCAAAGAAAAGAGGAGGATGTCTCTCTCCACAAAGCTCATTCCAGAGTGACAGAAGAAGCATCTGCTCTACGATAATATTGGGGGACCTAAACACACCTCTCAGCATTGGACAGAACATCTAGGCAACAAATCAACAGAGTAACCACCCACAACCAGGCACACTGCCAGCACCTCGGGGCCTGCCTGGTGTCCTGAGGCATGGAGCCAGAGACCAAAACCCCCTCCCACAACCAGGCACACCACCAGTGTCTTGGGGCCTGCCTGGGGTTCTGAGGCTTGGATCTGGGGACTGGAACTCCCTCCACACAACCAGGCACACTGCTAGCACCAATGAGCATGCCAAAAACATCACCTCCATGTGCGTGGCCCACCACAGCCACCACAATAACCACAGCTGCCACTAAAGTGACTAGATGCCACAACCACCACACAGATGGTCCACCAGCCACCAGAGTGCATTATCACAAGGAGAGTCACCAGCAGAGAACAAAGAAAAGAAGAGGATCTCTCTCTCCACAAAGCCCATTCCTTAGTGACAGAAGAAGCTTCTGCTCTACAATAATATTGGGGGACCTGAACACACCTCTCAGCATTGGACAGATCATCTAGGCAACAAATCAACAGAGTAACCATTACTCTTTCAGAAGGAGAGAATAAATCTAGGGTAATTGAGGGGGAGCAGGGAGGGAGGGGGTATAGGGAGAGATTGGACAAGGGGCATAGAGAATAAGTATGATCTGTAACAATGTATATGCTAGTAATATTGATTTGATCAACATATGTCAATGCTGAACCCCCAAAATATGTATAATCAATTATGATTCAATAAAAATTTTTTTTAAAAGTTACCCAGTTCCAAGTATTTTGCTATAAGCAACAGAGACTGACTAAGAGAGAAACTCTCGGGGCCGGCCCGTGGCTCACTCGGGAGAGTGCGGTGCTGATAACACCAAGGCCCCGGGTTCGGATCCCATATACAGATGGCGGGGGCGCTCACTGGCTGAGCGTGGTGCTGACAACACCAAGTCAAGGGTTAAGATCCCATTACCGGTCATCTTTTAAAAAAAAAAAAGAGAGAGAGAAACTCTCCCCAAAAGCACCTAATGCAAGCCCAAATCCTATAATAAATACTTTCTAGGGCCGGCCCGTGGCTCACTCGGGAGAGTGTGGTGCTGATAACACCAAGGCCCCGGGTTCGGATCCCATATAGGGATGGCCGGTTCGCTCACTGGCTGAGCGTGGTGCTGACAACACCA